GGTTCTTGTCACAATGACCATGTTAAAAGCAAAACGCCATCCTACCTTCAAAATTCCATATGCCCTTCTTGTATCCCGTATTCTTGAATATAAAGGTGTGAATGTTGAAGGTGAGCAAGCAGTTAGAACAAACAACTTAAACCGTATGCTGGACAACACATTGACTCAACTTCAAATGGTGTGAGTCAATGATATTTATGTTCACAAAGATGACGTTCCTAATCAAGGGGATGCTAATGACGATTCTGATGAAGATATGCCTCCACCTGCTGAGTTTCCCTCTGACCAAATACAAGATGCTAGAACTTCCTATACTCATCATGAACCAAGACAATCCATGGAAGATATGTTATCTGACATGAATCAGAGGATGCAATCATTCTTCACTCTTTCTGGAGTACGGCATGAGGAAATAATCCGCCGTATATCTGATATAGATGATAAAGTGTGTCGTTTAGAAAATAGATTTGATGAACACTTTAATGATGATGATAGTGAGGAATTTTAAATTTTGTTGAATATTTTCTATTGTTATTGCTTTGTGATTGTAATGAATAATCATTTTTGAAATAAAATATGATGTTTTGTTATTGCTTTGATTGAGGGGGAGTTATCTTCAACTTATGCATATTTTGAGGGGGAGCTCTTATGATTGTTATTGCAGAATTCTTTTTGATTATAATCAAAATAGGGGGAGAAAAATTTAAAGCCTCTTATAAATTGCATTTAAATATTATCTGGTATGTTTGATGTGTTTGTTAGTATGACAGATAAAACAGGTTATTACAAGGGCTTTAAAAGATAATTTTGATCATCATCAAAAAGGGGGAGATTGTTGAACATTCAAGGACTAGATGTTGCACTTGATGAACATGAAGATTGTTGATTTTGATGATGATTCAAGAACTCAAAGACTTAGAGTGTTGAAGACTTGTTTTGTAGTGTAATAACTCTGTTTTAATTAGATTGAGTCTGTAATTTTAGAGTTTGAGATAGCCGGTACATAGTCTGCAACTTAGAAGCTTCAAAAAAGTCCAAATATATCATCCAGGCTCGGCTTTAATAGATTATATAGGGAAATAATCGATTAAAACAGTGAGAAAACCATTTTCAGTACAAACTCACTGTTTTAATCGATTAAACATCAAAATAATCGATTATTAGGTCAAATAATCGATTAAAACTCCAAATAATCGATTAAAACAGAGAGGTTTTGGGTTCTGTTGTTTTTGGCTCTGTTTTAATCGATTATAACTCCATTTAATCGATTATTTCAGTCTGTTTTTGATTTTAAATTTCAAATCAACCCTATTTTCGAAAATCCAATTACCAAGAACCCTAGTTTCGAAATCCCCAATTCCTAAACCCTAATTTCTCTACTTAAACTCTTCTTTGGCACTCAGAAAAAAATAGAACAACATTTTCCATACAAAAGTTAAGTGCTGTGAGTGCCAGAGAACTGTTTGTTGCAAGGAAAGGGGGCTTTTGGAACCTGGTGTGGGCTAGAAGCGATAAGAATCACTAAGTGGAGTTCTTAGTGGATTGTGTGCTGTGCCGTTTCTGTGAAAAACTGTTCTTCATCTCTTGTGGGTTTCAAGAGAGGTGTCATCTTTTACTTTATCTCTTTCATTGTAATTTGTATTGTAACAATTTGTTTATAGTGATAGCGTTAATCCTCTGTTGAGTGATTAGCAACTGGACGTAGGGTCTTTTGATCCGAACCAGTATAAATTTCCTATGTAAGACTCTATCCCTTTCTCTATTTACATTTACACAGTTTTTAATTGGTAAAATTTGGGGAAAATTTTGAAAACCTAATTTTTATTAAGAAACCAATTCACCCCTCCTCTTGGTTTTTGTCCGACCACGCGATCATTCCGCTGCGCGATTCTAACAGGCATCGTAGGGAAGCTAATACCTTCTCTACAATAACTAACTCCCTTACCCAACTCTGGTTATAATGGCCAAAGTTGGTTTTTCTTAAAAACCAACGGCTTCTTTTTGTCCTTTTTCGATGTTTTCGGTAAAAACGTCGGTGGCGACTCCATAAGAACCCTTTCAAAAACCTTACTCTTAGGTCCAGCCCGGTTATCGGACGGTCTAAGAGCTCACTTTCGAAAACCTCGTTCTCAGGTTCAGGCCGGTTATCGGACAACCTAAAGGCGTTGTAACACCACCCATCCAAAACATGAAAACGGAAGTCAGAACCATCGCGTCGCTCCGATCGCCTCTTTTGACAACGATGACAACCACTTTTAGAGAATAAGCTATGCAACCTCTGAGACCTACTAACGATATGCTCGGATAATCCCCACATCTGATGAGGATTGGTCCAGGTCGGAACCAAGGACATGCCCAGGATAAGCGGCTGGCATCCCATCGTTCCAACTTGACCTTCCACTCCATGGTTAGACGTTTGTGGAGAGGGATTTTGGAGAAGCTCTTCAAAGGGTCGGGGAACATCCCCATGTGACTAGAGGCATAGAAATGCGTGATACCCCATACAAATAGCAGTGAAGAGCAACATTTGAGTGTTCTCCCTTGCTTTTGGTGAGAGAATTCGACCGAAAGCAAGGTGTCGATAAGAAGTGTAGGCAAGGGACTCTTCGGGTGCACGTCCCAGGTGAAGAAGGCGTCCATGACGACTTGATCCACTGTGTCGAGGTGAAAGGAAAATAACATGGTCCCAAACATGATTAGAGCCAGGGTTTTGTTAAAAGCGAACCAGTCTGCCTTTTCAGCCAAAGAGGACAGATGGTCTTCTAACATTGCAACTTTCCAACTTGGATATTCCCTTTTGCTATCAGGGCAGTCTGCTGAGGTGGCAATCAGATGATGACATCGACTTTGACTACAGGAATATACGTTTCGTGGCGAATATGGACCCCGACTGACTTGGGTCATCTCAACATAATCTCATACTCCTCCAAAGTGGGCACCATATCGAACTACGGGAATTCGAAGCAATGCAGACTAGAGTTCAAAAAATGGACCAAAATCCTGACAAAAATGGGGTTTATACAGATCTTCAGTAAGTCGAGAATCCATCCATAGGATTTTTCAAAGTTGGAGCGGACCTCTGGTGACATCAATGCGCAGAGATGTTCTATCTTTTCCGCATGGTATCGGGGAATATCCACTTTCTTCAACTGTTTACTAGCCCCCTCCATTTTCTAAAAACTAAAATGCATGCTATGAATATGATGTTAATGCAGGCATGCATGTAAGTGTTTATTTTTCCTAAACATTATCATGTTTTGTTTTCTACATGATGCATGATAGTGTTTGGTTTTTTGTATTTTTTTCAAAGAAAGATAAACTATCTATATGGACTTTTATGAGTTTAATGTTTATGAACAAGGTCCATTTTTATTTATTGGATTTATTTGGTTTATTTGATTTTTATTTGTTTTTATAACCTTTTATCTCTTCTGTCAGACTATGTGGCTACTTAGCTTACAAAGAACCTGAAACCAGGCTAGCTAAAAGGTAGACTATCTGAGATAAAAGTGGTTTATTGCAAAAGAATGGCTTTAATGTCCCTTATCTCTTCTATTGGACTGCGTGGCTACTTAGCTTACAAAGAACCTAAAACTAGGCTAGCTAAAAGGCAAACTGTCCGAGATAAGGTGTTTATTGTGAAAAGATTTTTTTATTTTACTTTTCTGTTGTATATTTATGCTATGCAACAATCAAATGCAACAAACAAATGCACACACAATTCACTCATCCGCAAAAAAGTAGGACGACATTTTTAATCACGAGGTAGGGGTATCCTGCAGAAGAGTGCATATTCAGGGTGGTTCTAAATTTCCTCATCAAGGCTAGGCCCCCAAGGTGCCCCCATTATAGGGTCCCCACTCTCCCAGCCTTCAGACCATGCATGGCACTAAGGCCTTAGTGAATCTTTGGGCCAAAAGAGGAAGGTTATCACCTTGAGTGGTGGTTTCCAACCATACTAGTGGGCTCATGACCCTCACTAAGGCAAATCGTACAATGCCACCCACTCCCTATGGATATCCCACTTGCCCCCGGGTATAAGGGGAACTGTTGTGTGCAAGAGTTTGTGTACAGTTTGTATCTCAAACAATTGTATAAAATAAACAAACAACAGTTATTAAGGCCAAACAATTAAAACATGTTATCAAACAAGGAAGGGTAAAGGCGCAATTTTATGTTTTATTTCCTAAAACTAGTCTGTCACTAAATGGAATCAACTCTTTAGCTTCCCTAGTGGAGTCGCCATCTATCACCGCCATCAAAAGAGGCGGTCGGAGCGATGCGATGGTTTCGTTCGACTCGCATTTTTTTTAAGAAATGGTTCAACACCTTTAGGTTGTCCGATAATCGGGCTGGACCTAAAGGCGAGGTTTTCAAAAGGTTCGAGGAGTCGCCACCAATGTTTTTACTGAAAACATTGGAAAAGGAAAAAAAGAAGGCATTGGTTTAGAAAAACCAACTTTGGCCATTACAACCAGAGTTAGGTAAGGGAGTTAGTTACATGTAGGGAAGGTATTAGCTTCCCTACAATGCCCCTTTCGGGTTTCCTATGATGGACCATTTTCATAAAGAAATAATAACTGTAAATTGCGCTTTTACCCTTATTTATTCAATGCAAAAATTAAAATATTGACTACATGGCCCTAAATGATTAATGCACAACAATACTATCTAAAAAGCAGTAAAGTAGAGAAGAAAGTATGTAGGAACCTTTGAAACAAGCTTTTATAGTAAGTTCTTTTGAAAGAGGGTACTTTTTGGCAATCTCCACGCTCTACAATGTTGATCGCTCTTCCTCGCAACACTACAAAAAGCTTTTTAAGAATACTAAGAAACTCTGGAAATGCTTCAGATGGGTCCTAGGAGAGTAATTCGAAAGAAGTGCAGAAGGGAAAGTGGTAGAATGCTGTGAAAAGAGTGAGCAAGTCCCCCTCTTTTATAGGAATTCGCACCTGTCAAGTCGGGACTGCCGTCTCGCTTGACAAGGTTGGGATTGTCATCTAACCAAACTGGATGGCAGTCTCGCCTTCAGCAAGTGGCGAGACGACCATCTTGCCAAACGAGACGGTCATCTCGTCATTGGCGAGTGGCGAGACGGCGGTCTCGCCATTGGCGAGTGGCGAGATGGCGGTCTCGCCAAACGAGACGGTAGTCTCGGCTCTTTAGGTGGAATTTCTTATTTTTCGTGTACAAAAATCCTTCTTATTCTAATATGGGGCCTATTGATAAATTCTAGGCACCTTTTAGGCCTTGCCCATCTTTGAACGGAAGTGTTATGCTCTTTATTTTGAGGCGGGACAAGATTTGGGGTCTACAGTACCTAATCGATATTACTTACTTTCCTTTCGTCACTGCACGTAAATAATTGATTATCTGATTTCGTTATAATTATGTTGGTACCTAAATCAATTATATTACCTATCATGAGTGTTCAGGTCTTGAATGAAAGAGTTCAGACTACCCTCCATGAGATATCACTAAAAAGCATGTTCCAAGTTTTGTAGAGGTGCGACTTTTTTGCGAAGAAAAAAGTAAGCTTCTTTTCTTACTTTGTTAGAAGAAAAGTACCACATCAGGAAAATCTTAGTTTGGTGCTTACTTTTTTTACTATAAAAGGAGCACAATGTTTACCTTGTAAAACACACCAAAATCACTTTCTTTTCTTTGTCTTGCTGCTTTAGTACTTCAGAGATAAATTAAGAGGGAAAAATAGTTTCTCCTTTTAGGTTCTCTTAGAGTTGTTTTTTCTTTATTTTCAGGAGAGGGTGTTATTGTTTCCTTCTTTTTTTTAGAAAAAGGTTGTAATTTTTTTCATTAGTGGAATTACTCTTTTGCCTATTGTCGATGTTTTTTCATCTTTTTATTTTAGTTGTGTGTGCTTATGCTTTTGTCCGATACCTAACAGTGGTATCAGAGCCACTGGGTTGTGATATTGATCTTTTGTTGTATAGTCATTAGAATAGTGTTGGAGAAAATTCTTATACTATTCATAGTGAGGATTCCATAAGTCGATTTGGAACCATGACAACAAAATATGAGATAGAAAAGTTCAATGGGAGTAATTTCTCATTGTGGAAATAGAAGATGAAGGCAATTTTGAGGAAGGACAATTGTATTGATGCAATTGCGGAAAGAACCGTTGAACACACGGATGAATGACGATGGAAAGAAATGAACGACAATGCTATTGCGAATTTGTACTTATCAATGACAAATTTGGTTTTATCCAGTGTTGCGAAGAAGACTATTGCGAAGGAGATTTGAGATACCCTCATTAAACTATATGAGGTGAAGTCACTAGATACAAGAATATTTTTGAAGAGAAAACTTTATATTCTTCGGATGAGTGAGTCCACATCAGTGACGAACCACATCAACCATTTGAATACCTTGTTTTGCCAACTACCAGCGACAAATTTCAACATAGTTGAAAATGAGTGTGCAGAACTTCTACTTTAGAGTTTACCTAATTCATATGATCAACTCATCATCAATATTACAAATAATAATGATGGGAATATGCACTTTGAGGATGTCATTGTAGCTATTCTTGAAGATGAATCCAGGTGAATGAGTAAGGATGAAAGTTCCAAACAAGCAGAGGCTTTGACAATGATGAGAGGAAGATCAATGGAACGTGTCTCGAGTAATGATAGATCGAGGTCTTTAAGTAAGAATAGTTCTAAAATCAAATGCTACTTTTGTGGCAAGAAAGGGCATACCAGAAAAGAGTGTTGGAAGAGAAAGAATAGAGGAAACAACTATAAAGAATCAACCTTAGAAGATGGAGATATTCTGGTGAGCAAAACAGTAATTAACTCTAATGGTAAAAAGGAGTTTCATGACAAGTGGATAGTGGATTCAGGTGCAACATGGCACATGACTCTGCACCGAGATTGGTTTCACACTTATGAACTATTCTCAGGTGAATCCGTCTTCATGGGGAACAACCATGCATTGGAGATTACTTGAGTTGGTACCGTCAAAATTAAATTGTATGATGGTATTGTTCGCACAATTCAAGGGGTACGACATGTGAAGGACTTGAAGAAGAATCTATTTTCCATTGGGCAATTAGATGACCTCGAGTGTAAGATCCATGTTGAAGATGGAATCTTGAAAATGATGAAGGGGAGTTTGGTGGTCATGAAGGCAAAGAAGATCATGGCAAATTTGTATGTGCTGCTTGGAGATACGTTGCAAGAAGTGGATGCATCAGTTGCGGAAACAAGTCAGGAAGATGCATTGATCATGTGGCATCATAGACTTGATCAAATGTTAGAAAGTGGTATGAAAATCCTTATAGAACGTAATCTCTTACCCGGGGTTAAAGAGGTTAGTTTACCCTTCTATGAGCACTATATGATAAGTAAGCAACATAGATTGAAGTTTGCTAGAGTGACTGTTAAAAGTAAATACATATTGAACTTGATTCATTCTGATGTGTGGGAATCGCTAGTACTATCCCTCGGAGGAGCAAAATATTTTGTATCGTTCATCGATGATTACTCCAGGAGATTGTAGGTGTACCCCATCAAGAAGAAGTAAGATGTGTTTTCACAGTTTAAGGAATTCAAAGCACATGTAGAACTTGAAATTGAAAAAAGAATTAAGTGCTTGAGGACAGATAAAGGAGGAGAATATGTAGACGGAGAATTTTTAGCATTTTGCAAGCAAGAGGGTATCACCAGACAATTTTCTATCCCGCATACGCCTCAACAAAATGGTGTAGTAGAGTGAATGAATAGAACTCTCCTGAAAAGAACTAGAGGTATGTTGCGAACAACTGGAGTAACAAAGTATTTTTGGGCAGAAGCAGTTAAAATTGTCTATTATGTTATAAATCGGTCACCGTCAACCGCCATTGGTTTGAGCACACCAATCGAGTTATGGAAATGTAAATCAATTGATTATTCATCCTTACGTGTTTTTGGCTATCCTGTGTACGTGATGTACAACACTCAAGAAAGAATAAAATTGGATCCAAAAGCCAGGAAATGTATCTTCTTAGGCTATGCTGACAATGTGAAGGGGTATCGCCTGTGGGACTCCACTTCCCACAAGGTTGTTGTTAGCAGAAATGTAGTCTTTGTAGAAAATGAATTGCAAAGTGAGCAGACAAATGACAACTTGATAAAGGACAAGGTTATAGTACAAATGGAGGAGCACGAAGATCAAGAGCCAAATGAGGTTGATAATGAAGATCTTCGGCGATCAACACGAGAAAAAACCAGACCATCTTGGCATTCACAATATGTGATGACAAGTCATGATGCATATTGTCTTCTAAATGAAGAAGGAGAACCTTCAACTTTTCAAGAGGTTATGAGTTGTTCAAATGGTTCTCTGTAGATGATTGCAATGCAGGAAGAAATTGAGGTTCTTCATAAAAACAAGACATGAAATCTTATGGAAATTTCGAAAGGTATTGATTGCAAATGGGTCTATAAGATCAAAGGAGATGGTAATGATCAAGTAGAAAGACATCGTGCTAAATTGGTAGTAAAGGGATATGCTCAGAAAAAAGTATTTATTTCAATGAGATATTCTCTTTGATTTTCATATTGACGTCCATCAGAGTTGTCTTGGCTATGTGTGCTTCATTTAATTTACATCTTGAACTATTGGATGTAAAGACTGCTTTTCTTCATGGAGATCTTGAAGAGGAAATTTATGCTCCAACTAGAAGGTTTTAAAGAACAAGAAAACTTGGTTTGTAGGTTGACCAAATCTCTATACGGTCTAAAGCAGGCGCCCAAACGTTGGTATAAGAGATTTGATTCCTTCATTATTTGCCTTGGCTACAATAGACTGAGCTTAGACCATTGTACATACTACAATAGGTTTGATGATAATGATTTTGTTATCTTGTTATTGTATGTGGATGACATGTTGGTAGTAGGCCCCAACATTGATAGAATCCAAGAGTTAAAGGCAAAATTGGCTAGGGAGTTTGACATGAAGGACTTGGGACCAACAAACAAGATTTTAAGGATGCAAATTGATAGAGACAGAAAAGATAGGAAGGTTTGGCTTTCTCAGAAGAATTACTTACTGAAACTCTTGTGACGCTACAACATGCAAGATTGCAAGCTAATTTCCACCCCACTTCCTATCAATTGTAAGGTATCCTCAAGTATGAGTCCCTATAATGAAGCGGAGAGGATGAAACAGTCTTGAGTACTGTATGTATCAGTAGTGGGAAGTCTTATCTATGCCATGATTTGTACAAGACCAGATATTGCACAAACAGTGGGAGTAATTAGTAGATTCATGGGAAATCCTGGTGGAGAGCATTGGAGTGCTATAAAGAGGATCCTTAGGTACATCAAAGGAACCTCAAGTGTTGCATTATGTTATGGAGGATCAAAACTAGTTTTTAGAGGCTATGTTGATTCAAATTTTGCAAGTGATCTAGATAAAAGGAGATCTACTACTGGTTATGTGTTTACAGTTGCAGGAGGGGCAGTAAGTTGGTTATCCAAGTTACAAGATGTTGTAGCTTTGTCTACCATAGAAGCTGAGTATATGACAACTGTTAGAAAAAGAGGCTGAGATCAAGAGGGGGGTGAATTGATCTTTGAAAGATTTTTGCACTTTCTTGATACAAATTATCTATTTTGAAGATATTGAATTCTGATCACTTTTTGAATCAGGAAAAACAAGCAATTCAATATAGAGCAGCAACAGAATTAAAGAGAGTAAGTTTTAGAGAAATACAACCAAGATTTATACTGGTTCACCCAAACCACAAGACTACATCCAGTTCTCAGCCAAATTCCAGCTGAGTTCCACTAGATTGAATGTCTTACAGATTACAATTCCAAATCACACAACACTCAATCTATCCCAAGAATCAAATTCCAGTTCTTGTTCAAACCTGCAACCAAATTCCAGTCACAGAAACCATGCCCACCAATTCTAGACACTCACAATACAGAAAAGATTTACAGAAAACAAAGGAGAAGAAATCAGAACACTCAAACCCGATTATGCAGCTCCTGCAGTATGAGTTTCTTCACCAAAAGAAAGCAAAATTGTTCTCAAGAAAGAACTTTGAAAAACTCCACAAACCTTGCGCGATTCTTTCTTGAAAATTGATCTTATGATTGCTTGATTGATTGCTAAATGATGTGTTTTAAAACATTGAATCATATTTGTTTATATAGAGTCATTTCTAACTAACTGGTTTATTTAATCGATTAAAACTTTCTTTTAGTCGATTATTAAATCTTGATTAATCGATGTAGACCCCTAATCTTGCCCGACCTCACAATAAGTTTAGGTATCCTCCGTTTCGAAGATGGTTAAGGCTCCAATAGGCCCCTAGTAGCATTTTCTAGGTTCCATTTAGGATAAGGAGGGTTTTTTAAGAAAATAAAAATCAGAAATTTTGTCAGAAACGTCAGATGGCCGTCCAGGCTAACCAGTTGACCGTCCATGCCTATTTTCAAGCAATGGACGACCG